TCTGTGTGGCCTCCCGCGTCAGCGTCTCTGCCACGCGGCGCATTCTGGTTGGCCAGGACTGCTGACCGGGCAGCTGACGTGGCACAATTATTTAAAATACGTTTTGACCTATGATTTTCAATTTTCTTTTCAAAAACACTTCCAAAACCCAAAATTTTACTCATTTTTTTTTAAATTGCTTTCAATTAAATCCTTAAAATAATTTTACCATTTATTATTATTATTATTATTATTATTATTTCTATTTAATTAAATTAAACTAAATTAAAACCATATAAAAATTCATATATTTATATAAAAATTATAAAAAAATTAAAATAAAATAACACCAATAATAATAAAAATAATTGAGGTGTTACACCTTTCTTTTCACTAAAAAATAATCTTCAATTTTTTTTTAAATGACTAACCGATCTCATTCTAATTTTCAGATGTGGGAATTGAAATTGGTCCATTAACCAAATCCCTTTTTTATTTTTTTTTAAAAAAGTTATTATGTATATTTTAATAATTAAATAAAAACTAATAAAACGTAATATGAAAACACTAGTCATGATTGGATATGGTGGCGAATCAAACAGAGCCAGAGAAGGAAAATCCTAATATAACGTAAAATGGGGATTTGAGGATTTTGGATATTTGAAAATCTGGAGTGTGTATATATATATGCAAATTAAATGAATATTTATATGGAGAATCTAGATATATTGTGTGTAAATATGGTACTCTAAAATCTTAATTTACAAAATCATGCTATATATAAGTGGCAATAATCTTGAAATCCTTTTAATGACCTGTACGTATATACACACGATCTTTTCTTACCAACTGGTGCATGAATTACTTAATAAAATTTTTATATCAGGATGTTTTTATACTCTTAAAAAATGATATTACGATACTTAAATTTCGTATTAAAAATACATGAGTTCTATACGACAACTTAAATGCTAGCTTGATAATTGCAATAGTATATCTTGTAGGTTTTTAAATTACGATTTGTGATTGTAAGACAGAGATTATAATATTCTGAATTTTATATTAAAAAAATATTAATAATTAAACTTCGTATAAAGAACACAAATTATATATTATTATTAACGTGAGCTTTTAATATATATGATTTAGAAAAAAAAATATATTATTAGATTAGTAGTATTTAAGTTTAAAACATTATAAATATAATTTTTTTTTTTCGGTACGAGATGCTAAAGTTATATTAGAATCATTTATAACTTCACGTATATAGATATAGAGTGTGATTAGATATTATAATATTTTAAATTTTATATAAAAAAAAATATTAATAATTAAACTTCATATAAAAAATTTAAAATACATATTACTATTAATTTAAAATTTTTACTAATTGTATATAAAATATTGTTAGGTTAAAAGTACTTAAATTTAAAGTATTATAAATAGAGTTATTTTCTGTGTGAAATATTAAAGTTATAAAAGAATCATTTATGTATACCTTCATAGATATGGACGAGGAGTGAAACTGCGTCAAGAAAGAATAAGATTTTTCTTTTGTACTATATATGTATATATATGTATATAATTCAATCATCTACATTGAGACTAGATTGTTGCCATCTTGCTTTCACAGTAAGCCAATATATATATATATATATATAATATAAGGGGGTCCGCTCCTTACCATTTTTAAGTTTTCCCTATAAATTTTGAAGCGGTTCTTTTTAACTGAAACAGCAAAAATGTTGGCTCTGATACTCGGTTCGCTTCTTCTTCTTCTTCTTTTGCTGTCTGCTCTCATCTTCAAATTCGCTATTGCTGATGGTAATTGTGATACTTCTCTCTCTCTCTCTCTCCTTATGTATATATGTGGAGCTTATTCTCTTCCCTTACTCTTCAATTCGCCATTGCTGATGGCAGCCGCATAACTGTACGCTTTTCTATCCTCATTTTTTTTTCTTGCTATTTAAGGAGATTTCACGTTAACCTCAAAGGGGCATGTGAAGCGCGAAGAAATTGAGGATAAGGTAAAGAAGATGATTGAATACTTCTCTCTTCTTTTCTTTTTTTTTTTTCTCCACTATTTCAAATTCATTCTCAATTTTTTTTTTTCCTATAACGGTATGAGAAAAATCTATTTATTATCTGAATTATGTTATCAAATTGTGAAATTAATGTTTCTTATTTGATTTTTTCGTATTTTGTTAATAATTCAGGTTGTTTGGATTACTGGAGCGAGCAGAGGAATTGGTATGATATGTGTTTTTAAATATTTCACTGTCAATTTAATCTGTTCAAGTTTGTGGAATATACTCCTCATCAAGGGCGGTGGCATTCTTTTCGTGTCAAATTGGAATTATCAGATACATTTTATTTTTCTTCTTCTTCCTATCGTTTATTTATTTTTCTGAAAGAAAAAATCAAGTGGAGGCCTAATATTCAGAATTACGTGGGTGTAGAGCTGTAAGTATATTGCACTCGGAGTATGATATTTTTATTTTCGTTGTGATCACCACCATGTTCTCGCAGGTGGGGATTATGGGTTTAGTATGTAATATGAAGTAGTGTCTTCGCTTCTTTCGGTTTTACAATTTAAAAGTAATGTTTTATTGCTTTATAATAATTCATATATTTATTTCCAGCTAAACAGAAATATATGTTAAAAACTTAATCTTAACTTTTGCCAGTAACTTCTATCCATTTTTTAAATCAGAATTTGGTAACAATTTCTTCCATTTTTAAACTAATATTTTATCTGATATAATTTGAAATATAGAGATTACCAAAAGTAATTAAGCTTTCTGTAGATTGTATGTTGTTTTGATAAATGGATTCCAGAGATTTGATAACATGAATTCAAACTAAAGGCCAACTAGTGAAAGTTGATCCTTTGGAGGTTGCAGAAGGCTGCCTTGCCGAAGCTTGGTTTTGCTTTTAGTTACCTACTAAGTGCCCTCTAATTTATGTTAACTCTGGCCATTTTAAACTTAATGGCGCCAGAAGGTTCCTTCTTGACTTGATAATATTATATATATATAGAATTTATGTGATTCTTAAGTTATTTTAAATCTATCATTTTCTGTTACTGTTTTCATTTGGTGGTGAATTATGCATATAAACATTTCGTTGATATAAATGATATATAATCTGACTTCCTATGTTGCTCATCTATCAAATATTAGCAACTGGCACTCCTCCAAAAAAAGAAAAAGAGACAATCAGCTGACGCATTATGCTGCTTTTCCATGCTTGGGCTTTCGACCTGAAAGTAGAAGGAAACATTGATTCTAACAGATACATAGGCTTAGTTTTTTTTTTTTTTTTTTTTTCTTCTTCTTCTTCTTTTTCCTGAGACCATAATATAGGGTGTTATGTGGAGTCAACTTTGCCTCCATTAGATTGCTTACATCACTAATATGCAATTGAAATGAAACCTATGGCATCCCAACCGAAATATTGAACCGAAATGAGGGTGGCCGGTGGTGTGTCCTTAACATCCCAATTGAAATGTGAATGGAAGTAGGAGTGGAATGTAATGCATTGAAGATTGTGAAGTAAAATATTTTTTTTTGAAATAAATTGTGAAGTAAAATGTACTAAGGCATGTAGAGAGAACTTATTCTCCGTGATTGTGTCATAATGCAGGTGGTGTTTCCAAATATAAATTTATAATCAGTTTCAATAATTTGGGGAGAATTCTCTCAAACAAGCTGTATTTACTTTTCAATTGGAATTTGATTATATGATCAATCCCAATTATATGATTATATTATCATTTAATTAATCTTAATTGAAGATTGGATCATATAATCATTTAAATGAGGAGCCTTATTTCCTGTGATTGTATTAATCTCTTTCTGCTCGTGATTATGCTTCTTTTTCTATCAGTTTTACGTATATATATATATATATATATATATATATATATATATATATATATATATATAATTGTATTCATGTGTGCAACTGTGTGTATGTGCTCAAGTGGCTTAAGAATATTAGTAACCTAAATAGGACTGTTATAGTAACGAAGGGATACAAGTGCTGTTTTTGATTGATAACATCCTCCTGTTCATTTTGATCTATTTTTGTTTCCAAAAAGGAATGAAAGTGTCTTTTTGTCATTGTCATTTTGATTCTTTTTCACCTCATCATCTTGAAAATGGCTTAAAATCATAACTTATAAGATTCCAAATTTTGCAAGGATGAATGAACAGTTTCTCCGGTTTAAAACAAAAACAATGTGTTTTCATGTTGGAGCTATCTTCATGTTCCATGTAGTTCTGATAGATGCTCGTTTGTTGCACTAAAACAACCATAGAAAATGCTGCTTCTCATATTTCTTTCTTTTTTTTTTTTTTTTTTTCTTTTGTGATGGCCTACTATAGGTAAGATTCTAGCTAAACAATTAGCTGGTTTTGGTGCAAAGCTCATTATTTCTGCACGGAATGAAGCTGAATTAGAGAAAGTTAGGGAGCAGCTTAATGGTATTCATTCTGCCAGAACAAATTGATGTGTGTCATTTCATTACAATTTGACAATGTTGTTAGCACACCTGCAGGTAAACACGCACCTAAAGATGTAAAGATTTTGCCCCTTGATTTGACTTCTGGGGAGACTTCTCTCAAAGAAACTGTAGAGAGAGCAGTGTCCTTTTTTCCTGATGCTGGTATTGATTATATGATCCATAATGCAGCTTATGAACGACCTGTAAGCTATTCTCTTTCTGGTTCTGGAGATATTATGACGTAGACAATCATAGAAACAGGCAGAAGTAATATCTATATGGCTGCAGAAGCATTTATTGACATGGAACTTCATAAAAAATGTTTTGAAGTTAGTATATGGCATCCTGAGTTATTTGGTATAATAGTGCATGTACTGCATTAAACCCTTTGCCAGGTCAAAAATAGTCCATTAGGTCTTGAAACACATGCTAAGTTGCTTGTGGGCCTTTCTAACAAAAGATGGAGTGAACATGTGATGATCTTCAAGATAATGGTATTCCTTCTAATAACAAACTGGTATATGTCTCAAACTTTGTTACTGATCAGACCATATCAAGGAATTTTCTAGAATGTAGGAATCATGTCATTAGTCATAAAGTTGATAACAGTTCTTTATCAACAGAAGAATGAGGCTAATGCAGAGTTGATTCATGACACTCTCAGAAAAAATGAAAATCGAACTCAATGTGTATTTTCCATGCATTAAATACAAGATTCAAAGTCAAATAGCTTGCTTTCAAATTATCACACCAAGCATAGGTGGTGTTACTAATTAGTAGCCCAACTTAAATAACAGTGGTATTGGCAACCACTTCCTACTCACTTTTAGTTGAGGGATGGGCAATTGTTAGTTGTTGCTCGTCTGTCCATGACACAAGGTAATTTCCTAAATGTTTCGCATAACCATTTGTTAGGCTTTTGATCATCTTACCACCTGGCCCAGTAACTATCTTAAAAGTATTGGAGCTGGCATTTCACTTGACTTACCAAAGAAAAGAATGTGTTTTTTGGTATGATGAAGATAGTGCAGAAGAAGAGTGATTGAGAAGGAACCGTAGGAGTGAGGCAAGGTTTTGCATTCGCCGTTCCTATTCTTTGGATAATATTTTCCATATAACTCTTGACAGTGATAAAACTGCTCTGGAAACATAAGAAAAATGGAGTGTTTTCCGTGAAATCATATTATGGTTATATTGTGGGGGAGAGAACCTGCAGGCTTGCTCATTCTCCTGCTAATCAGATCTGGAGGGTGCAGGCCCCTCCAAAGATAGCTTTTTTCGCTTGGGAGGCCAGCAGAAACAGTATATTAATGGTTGATAATTTGATGAGAAGGGGTTTGGTGTTGGTAAACAGATGTTGTATGTGTAATAAATGTGAGACTGAAATTTGCAGTCACCTTCTCCTCCACTGCTCTGCTGTTTATGAGTTGTGGTGTTCGATCTTCAGGCTTTGTGGGGTTTGCTGGGTGATGGAGGGGTCGGTCATTGAGGAATTGGGGGCTTGGGCTGGTCTTGGTAAAGGGAAGAAAAAGTCTATTAGTTTAATTCCTCTTACTGTTTTTTAGATTGTGTGGAAGGAAAGGAATGACAGGTTTTTTGAAGGAAAAGAGAAAGATATTACTAAAATTAGAGATAGATGGTTACATTTATTTGGATCTTTAATTCTGGGACTTGATTTGTATAGGATGGAAAAATTTTGGATATATAATAGATTGCTTAACAAATATGTAATACTTTTGTATATGGGTTGCATCTCCTTGGTGCTTTGTTAACATATTTATACTTTATATTTCCGAAAAAAAATTTTCCATATATTTTTATGAGAAATTCAAGCATTTCTTCCTTTAACTTCCTCTTGAGGAAATATGCTAGTGAGTGAATGTCCCATACTGGGAAATTCCATCGCATTTTCTTCACAAAGAATCTATTAAAGCCCTACTTGGCCTTCTTCCACAGAATTGATGAGCCATATTATTATCATGGAATTTTCAACATCTCATGTTGCATAGGCTGGATTCTCCTTAGCAGGGGCTTTTTTCTTTGACAGTTAAATAACCCATCTTTCCATGCCCCAAAAGGTAAATACAAACTGACTGAGATCATCTTAAGAAATTATCATCGTTGAAGCAAAAAGTGGTGAATTGGACAGATTGAGAGTCAGAGTTGGGCTGGATTTTATTTCCTTTTGATAAGATTGCAGAGGATTGTGGGGCAGCGACTGTTCATAGGAAATGTCAGAGATGGTGTTGTTGGCGATCATTTCCAATAAAAATGCTGTGAATTCTAGAGCTTTCCCGGGGAAGGGATGGCAACTTGTCGTATAAAGGAAAAGGTTGTTAGAACTGTAGGATGTTGGTCGGGAGATTGAGGATTGGTAGTCCTAAAAAAGTTGAGAGCTGCTGAACCTTGTTTCTCAATGGAGTAAAGGCTTATTATATTTATTCAAAAGAAATTGTTTGTCTATTAGAGACTAATAGGATATTTCTCATAGTCTTTCTTATGTAATTAATGTAGGTTATGTTATTATCAATCTTATATTAGTTAGATTCTATTCTTAGTTTTCTTTTTTCTTGTACCTAGTTATCTCTGTAAATATGCATACTAATTCTTCAACATAATAAAAAGAAAAATATTTTAGATTATTCATTTAGCAATTATTATACCTCATAAATCAAATAAATTAGGTAAATATTTTTACTCTAGTTTTTTTTGTCTTTCTTTTTACTTCATGCAGAAAACAACGGCATTGGATGTGACGGAGGAAGATCTTAAGGTATCAAATGAGGGAAACTCCAAAAAGTACTGTTAGTTATATGTAATCCATATGGACAACTAGTGGCTCATAAGTCAACCGACCATATAGACTTTCGGTTACTTCAGCTGGCAGGACATGTTTATGCAAAGCTATCAAATTTTACGCTTATTTTCCCCTTTTGAGCGAAAACTAATTGACATAACTGCTATCCTAAAACTAGGCTACATTTGATGTCAATGTTTTGGGGACCATATCTCTTACACGGCTGTTGGCACCTTATATGCTGAAGCAGGGAAGAGGTCATTTTGTTGTGGTATGTAGAAATTTATAATGCTTTTCTTACCAACATTATATCATAATTTTTCCTTGGACTGCACTTTTAAATACATGAGATGGATGAAAATGTTTTTGCCTTTATGGCAATGCAAAGGCCTGGTGCAGGCACCTAGTAAAAACTAAGGCACCTCTATGATGGATTTTAAGATCGGTTATATTTCGAAGAAATCGAAAATCTTTGTAGAATTCATTTGGAAATCTACATTTTAAACTAGAAGATGATGAAAATTCTCCTAAAAATAATGAAAAGTGAATTTATATGTAATTTCATATCAATTGGAGCAATGTATTCCAAGTTCTATCGACTCATGTAATTTGAAATGTATTGTTTCATTTCCTCTTGATTTCATATGAGATTAATTTTTTTTATCATCTTAATTCAGTTTGCTCCATCTCCTACTTAAAAAAGTGTGGATTTTCAAATGATGGATATGTTTCATACATAGCCATAAAATTGCAACTTAGCTCTGATATTAACTAGGTCATCACACATTCTTAAAGATTGGTTTATGAAGGTTGGTTGTTTAGGCACCCATCAGGTGCTGGTTTGGTATGTGGGTTGGGAACATACCTTGTCTGAGAGAGCTGAATCTAAGTGCTTTCTCTTTTTCTTTCCTGCTTTTGAATGCATATATCTTGATTGCGAGATATGTAGATGAGCAGCGCTGCAGGAAAGACACCTGCACCAGGTCAGGCTGCATACTCTGCTTCTAAACATGCTTTGAATGGGTACTTCCATACTCTGCGTTCTGAGGTATGCACACACCTTCTGTTATTAGCGAATGCAAAGTTTTTCCTGTGTATATTTCCCAACTTACTCTTGGCTAATCACACTAAACAAAGCACCCCAGCTGTTTCAAGGCCTCCGTAAGGGTTAGGTTTTTATTTCTTCATGAAACATGCTGGTTGACAAAATTGCTAGGGGAATTAAGATCTTTTAATTGAGTAGAGGTGAATTAATTAATGAGAAAGAGGGCTACTTGCCACAAACAAAAAATGCACACCAGGTTGAGAGTAAAAAATGAAAATAAAAAAATAAGTCTATTGGGAATTGAGCTTGTTATTTATTTTATCTGCTTGTAGTACAGGGAATGCAATATTATCTTATGCTAATAATGTCATATATGTGAGTGTAGCTCTGTCAGAAGGGTATAAAGGTTACTGTTGTTTGTCCTGGACCCGTTGATACCTCAGATGGTTCTGGAGCAACAACATTAGAAATGAAGGTTTCTTCTGAGGTGAGTGGCATAATTTTTCTCTCCTAGCCTTGATGTCTTAGTGTTTAACAATATTACTATATTGCCAGACAAATGAGCCACATGGACAATCAGAAGACAAGTATATCCAGTTGGGCAGTGCTTAACCAGGATGTTGGGAAATAATTTAATTTGAGTAATAATAATGAACCATGACTTTTGGTATTTTTTAGATGCCTGAATCATTATATAGGAATATGCATGCTTGAATTTATGCATGTTGATAGTAATAATAATGAACCACGACTTTTGGTATTTTTTAGATGCCTGAATCATTATATAGGAATATGTATACTTGAATTTATGCATGTTGATATCATGTAGGTGCATGTATCATTGAAAGATTATATACATTTATATACCAAAAATTTTTAGGTGCATGTATCGTTGAAAAGTTATATATATGTATCATTCATTGTTATACTTATATTCATTTTTATTTGATTAAGAGCATGATCTAAATATGAGGCTGACTAATAGGGAAATTATATCAAAGGAAAGATCAAGAATTGAGGTATCTGAGTACTCACTGTATTTGGGCATCTAGGGTTTAAATCAAGAAGTACATAGTTTCCGGTGGTGAGTAAAAAACTATGAGGGGACATAATTAAACCAAGCCAAGTTGAACGGGGGAGATACAGTTGCCAAATCCATATATTACAGTGGAGGCTTTGACTATTTTTAAGATGCAATAGGGCTGTGATATTAATTGTCTATTTCCTTCTCTATTATAGATAATCTGTGTGTATAGGACTGTGATATTCAATGAAATACATATTCAATAAGTTTTAAATGGTATAAGAGTTTTAGGTTAAAAAATACTGTGGTGCCGGCCTTCATCAACGGCCACCACACTCCAGCCGCCGGCCACTACAAGATTGACCATCTCCACCATAAGCTGGCCCTAGCCCCGATCTCCCATAGTTAGAAGCAGCTAGAAGTAGCCGCTCAGTCCCCAGCTGCCAGCCGCCAGAACCGTACATACACAGTGTCTGCTTGGCTCATCCATGTGCCCAGTCTTCTCTGCTACACATAGAATAGTTGCGCGCATAGCCAGCCACGGCTCCCTTACACCACAGCCTCTGCCCAGCTGTCCGCGCGCCTTTGCCTAGTTGCCGGAAAGTGCGGCACCTCTATTCCATGCACAGCCAGCCACCAGCCCCATGATTTCTTTCTGTCAAGCCGGTAGCACTTATGTGACTTTTATATTTGACCATAATTGCCCTACAACTCTTAAAGGATGTTGGAGGTAACATCCAAAACATTGGAACAAACTTCTACATGTGAAATTGCACATAAAATAACAGTGACTTTCAGTTAATCCATACTGCCTATCATTTCACAGGCAAATATTATTTGACATGGTTCCATTTCATCTAGACCATTCTCAAGGGAAAAGATAAACTCAACCATCTTCTGAGTACCAAACCAAAACTTAGAGACTGAACCTTTGATGCTTGGGACGAAAAAGACTCAATGATCATGACATAGCTCTGTAATTTTATGGCTCCAGAAATCAGCAAGACAGTGATGTTTTTGCTTATAGTAAAAGAAGTGTGAAATGCAACCAGTGAGCTTATTCTAAAGTCAAGGATGCAGCACATATTTATGACTGTCAAGATGTGGTCCACCCGCTCCCACCATACCTATGACAGATTATAATACCCATAATGAACTTCACGAGTCAAGAAAAAGTATGCAGGTATATTCAAGATGGAGAGACCTGGATTCCAATCTTGTGTAAGTTCAAGGCTCAACACCTGATTCAAAAAATGAGGTAAACGTTATTTTAGAACTTTCCCCTTAGTTACATGATAATGATCTTGTTGTTGCCATTAGTAAAGGTAAAAGAGGATATGCTAAACACTTATTATATCATGTAGTGAAGTTTTTGTCATTTAACAAATTATTACCTTTATATTTCTAGTTGGTATAAGAACCATTCATATTTTTAATACTTTATCTGAGACGTTATCTGATGAGAAATAAAAAAGATGTACGCTTTAAAGAAGTGAACGCAATAATTGTTGACACATTACTTGAAAAGAAGCATGTGGGATGCAAGTTGGTGTTTATAGTGAAGTACATATCAGATGGCTTCCTAGAGGGATATAAGCCAAACTCTTGGCAAAGGGATATACGCAGATCCATGGTGTGGACTATCAGGAAAATTTGCTTGGATGTTGAAAGGAATGTTGTAAGAATTTTGTTGTCTTTAGCAGCTAACTTTTATCAGTATTTAGAACAGTCTGATGTAAAAATGTTTTTTTGTAGCAATTTGAAAGAAGAGACATGAATGAATATTCCTCTGTGCTTCAATAGAAAACTAAGAGAGCGACATTTATAGCTTGAAGAAAGTACTGTTTGGTCTAAAGCAATCATCAAGGGTTTGGTTTGGAAGACTTTCCAAAATAATGCTTGCCACCAGGTATAGATAGAGTTAGAGAGATGATATACTCTTTATAAAGCACATGGATTCAGGTGGATTTATGACACTTTTCGTATATGTCAATAACATAATTATGGTAAGAAATAATGTGAAAAAGAAAAAAAATGAGTAGTAAGAGAATTAGGGATAAAATAACTTGGGACACTGAAGTACTCTCTAGGAATTGAATTAGCTCATTCTAGAGAGGACATCTTTATAGCCAAAACATGTGACCAGTCTCCTAAGCAAGACAAAAAAGTTGGCAAGTAGACCTGTCTTTACATTGATCCAGCAAAATCACGTTGGGGCAAGGCAAAATAAAGATCATTTGCAGACAGAAAATGCACTAGGTACTGGTAAGAAAGCTTATATATGCAGATATTGCATATGCCGGGAGCGTGAATATCTGATTTATGCATAGTCCACCTTCATGCAGTGTACAAAGTGGTAAATCACCAGAAGCCTAATCCTAGGAAAGGAATTTTCTTCAAAAGAAATGCTGAATTAGTCCTTGAGACGTACACCTATATATTACAGAAACTCACTAGTTGATAGATGGTCTGTTACGAGTTATTGCATTTTTCTTGGAGACAATCTTGTGACTTAGGGAGAGTAAGAAACATAATATGGTTGCTGGATCAGGTGCAGAGGCAAAGTTCAGGGTGGTATTGCAGGAAGTATGTGAACTATTATGACTCAAGAAAATTTTAGAAGATTTAAGGAAATTGGAGGGAACATTGATATTATTTTGCAACAACAAGCCTGTCATTAGTATTGCTTACAGTCCTGTGTAGCATAGCAAAATGAACCAAAATGAAGTAGATAGACACTTCATAAAGGAAAAGTTTGGATGTTGCATTAATTTATTCACCATTTGCCTCACTTATGGTCAGCGTTTCTTTTACGAAGTGTTAATTCGTACACCATTGGACTCAACTAACATTCAACTTGCA